TACTTGTTATTTTTGAAAAATACTTTGTTTATAACAGTAACTATTAATTTATAACAACAAATTTAATTCTAAATATTTTAATATACATAATTTGAGAAGAGAACTTTTTGAACTTTTAATGAATTTATTTGTTAGATTCGTAAAACCACCAGTAATTTCTAAAGAAAATGAAGATGTTACTCTTAACATCTATTCCATTTCAGAAGTATAGTAACAAAAAGAAAATGAAAATTTAGTGACTGGTGTGGAAACAAGATTATATTTAAAAATGTATAGTTGAATGAAAGTGAAGTGAAATCATTTTTCAATTCTGTGTGACCATGCAACTGCATGTTCATATGTAATAGATGAATTTCCACTAAGTGATTCATTTGTAAAACATGCTGAAGTTGCTGACATCAACTTGAGAACTGAAGTTTCGTTTTCATCTGTTCTTTACTTAATGAATACTTTCCCATCCCTTATTGATGAAAAATATTTTAATCAAGTGGAAATTAAGTTTTCTATGTATCAAGTAGATGATTTGAAAGAAATTGTAGATTTGCGTATTGATATAGCATGGGGAGAAATTGCTAAATTAAAAAATATGAATGGGCGTATTAAACACAAAGTATTGCCTATTGTAATGCTTGCTGTCTTAATAATACCTCATTCAAATGCAGCTTGCGAAAGAATTTTTTTTATTGAAAAAAAAAAAAAAAAAAAAAATCAGACTGAATTTTGACCAAATTTAGGTCCTGAAACTCTTGAAGCAGTTTTGATTGAAAAAATAAGTATGGAGGCAAATGAAAAACTGTGTTATAAAAAAAAAAAAAAAAATTTCTCAAAATCAGAACTTAAGCTTGCTAAACATGCTAGGTGTAAATCTTCGCATTCATAAATTATAAGCATTTTTTAAAATACTTATATGTATTATTCTTGGTTATCTAATTCTTTTTTAATTTTATTTCCCTGTGGAAATCAAATCTAGAATAAAGATATATGATTTATGAATTCCGATTTTTTTCTATGATTAGTAGTGATTTAAAATACAGATTAGTGTAGATTTAGTGATATACATGCTGGAGGAGTTAAATGAAAATTTTTAATTAAATGTGCATATAATTTAATTTACAAGACATATTTTTCATTATTCAGTTTTATATGTATATGGATTTTAAGTATAATAAAATTGATTACAATTAATGGTTAATTAATACATGCATTTTCAAAGTTGTAAAAATGTCATACACGCGTTAACTACTGTCACATTTTGCTGCAGGTTGGAGTCTTATGTGTTTCTAAATTTATTTATTTATTGTCCGACCTTCCTTTTTTAAAATCCTCTTCATATTTGTCTTTGTTATTCAAAAAGCTCTGCATTCACTGACAACAGCAGATGAACTTCCAAAAAGTATCTTTGCTTGGACATTTAATATTTTTTCATAAGAAAACGTGAAGAGTCCCGATTCTTAATTTCACTTCGGTACTGATGCCAACCTGGCGAATTATTATTTATTATTTTTTGCTTTTATCAACACACTGTAGGTAGAGAAGTGATTCAGTGATATCTAAACAATTTTTTTAAATATTAATTGTATACTAAAGAATGTTGTAACCTTATATTTTGACATTACGCTTGGCGATGATTATAGACTTCAGCTAACTCTAGCATTGCCATTATTGCCAAGCATTGATATAGAATGTAAATGCTAAATAAATAAAATATGAAAAAAGTTGGTAGGTAATGCTTTATTTTACTCTGATAAAAAATTAATAAAGCGATCTAATAAAAAAACATGTAGAATAATAAAAAGATGTGAGGCTAATCTTTTAGGACAAGGGTCTCCAAACTACGGCCCGAAAGCTCTAATGGTCTGGCCTGCCAGAGGTTTATTTAAAAAATTTTTATTAAATTTAAAGTAACAAATAACATACATGTTAACTGTTTTATATAACTGCCAATCTCAAAATGTGTTGCGTATCATGCACATTCTTTAGAAAACATATAAACATTTTACAACCATTTCTAAATTTACAACGAGTAAAATACAGCAACACACTGTATTGAAAATCTCATGAGGTACACACATGACTTCCTCATACGTTCTATTAAATTACACCCATTTTTTGCTGCATTTCATTTAAACTTATTTCATTAGAGATATATTTCTCATTCAATCAATTCAGTTCTCCCTTTGTGGCAAGGAAAAATACATTAAAACTCAAAACATCTTCAAACAAAACGAGTTTAAAATTTAAAGAAATAGCAGCTTCATTAAGCTTAGTAGCACTTAAACAAATTTTAAATTGTCGATAATTCTACAATTATTGCATGCAGATTAACTAAAAAAATCTTAACCGGAATATAAGAACAACGTAATTCAGTTATTTTTAAAGCAAAAAATGCACAGTTCACGAATATATAGGAATGAAAAAAACAGCTCACCGAGCTGGTAATAGATGTATATATATATACGTACTTTTGACAGCCAATTGTAACCAAAAAGGGGCGACCACTACTACATGTTATAGCAGTCAAAATTCTAGCATTTTAAAGCTACCCATTTTTGAGTTACGTGAGATACATACATACGTACGTGCAGATGTCGCGTAAAAATCTCTGCTGAATCCTTTTTACAATTTGTTCTGAGGGAAAAAAAAAGAGTCCTTTGTTCTTGTATAACATAAATTCAACAGAAAAATCACAACATTGTCCGTACGTACAGATGTCACGAAAAAAAAAAAAGTTCAAATGTATTCAAGAGTGGTCAAAATGGATAATTTCATTGAAATATGGTACACAAAAATTTTCGTGATTACAGTATTTTCTCTGTACTTCGTGCAAGGGAGTAAAAAATTCTTATAGTATTTTTTACAAGAATAAAGGTTTCGTAAGTTATTTTTCTTACTTTCATAGTAATATTCTCGGTTGATTCATAGAAATTTTCAGTAGCAATTTTATTCAAGTCTTAATTTTTGTTCTGTACAGTACAAAGTCTATTAATCCGGAATGATCTATAATCTGGACCTCAAAGCTACATAATACCTTTATGCATGCGCATAATACGTTTACGCATGCGTGTTTAGCTAGGCTAAAATTATCTATTTCAGATAATGTTGCAGATTGCATTGTTCCTTAATATTCTGATTGGATCCAGCTTATTATTATTTTGCAGACTGTTAGAGCAATTTTATAAAAAAAAAAAGCTTGAACTTTCGATTATGTCAAAAAGAGTTTCCGATTCTAGAGCTGCCAAAACGAAAGCATGTTTCGATGTACCGCTTCCGATAGTGAAGAAAGTGTCAGATAGGTTATTCAACAAGAAATAATTTCAATTCACAATTTAGTCGGTATTCTCGACACAGCAATTACAGGGCTTGAACAGTGGAACTGAACAAGAAATTATGTCTGTTTATAGAATTAAAGAGAAAGTATTAGCACAAAAAATGAAGGAACTTAAACAACTTACATGAAAAGAAATTTTTAATAAAGTAAACAAATAAATATTAAGCTTTCTTTTTGTAAATTTTGATACCCTTTAAATCATAATTGCTCTTTATTTCATAAATTTTGGTTTCATATTTTTAATTTTTATAATTTCTGCATGCCATCTTACCAGGTTTAAATTGATGATCTGTAATCCAGAAAAACCCCTAATCCGGAATCGCCGAAGTTCCGACGAATCCGGATTAAAGACTTTGTACTGTATACGTTGTTATTTATTTTAATTTTGGAGAATTTTTGACTTGCCCAAAATATAAAATAGCTATGAGCAAAAATTTGCACCTGATCAAAATGTAAACAAAATGTGCTGATAAATTGTGATAACGAGAAGATAAATCCATTAAAAAGTAAGTACATACTAAACTGAAGAAATCTATAATATTCTAGGAAAATTTTTTTTTTTGCAATAAAGTGTAAAAAAAACAAGGCTCTTCATAAGATCATACTTATAGAACCAATCACAAAAATCTCACTGCTTGGTTTAAAAAAGTGCATGCAGTTTATCATAGTTGCATTGCAATGGTATGATGAATTAGCTGTGTCTTGGCCTTGTGTGTCCTGTGGGCTGAAGAGTTTGGAGACTGCTATTTTAGGACATCACTCATAGTGTATAGCGGATGCTACCTAAGCTTTATGATGATTGCCACTAATTTGAAAGTATTTAAATATCGCATACAAAAAGCTAAATTTCTCCAAAAAATGTAGTTTTTTGAAGAAGTGGTAATAAACGAAGATGATATAACATAAGTTTTTCATTGCGATGACAATGCTGTAATCATCAGTCATCTAATGGACTACAATATCTGCAGTGTGTTTCTAAATCCATAAAATATCACTTCTGATATTGAAAAAAATTAACAGAGATATTGTTGAAAAAGAAAAATTTTTTATTGATAATTTAGGGAGAATTCTCAATGCAGCTTTTATAGGACTTGAACAATTGAACTTTGTAACTGAACGAGAAATTATGTGTGCAATTAAAGAGAAAAGTATCAGCACAAAAAACAAAGCAAATTAAACAACTTGTATTGAAAGTAATTTTAATAAAGTATATAATTTTTTTATGTTTGAATATTGATAAAATGCTTCACTGTTTCATATGTTTAATTTTATGATTTCTACATGTAATTTTAAAGATTTAAACTGATGATCTAATATCCAAATCTGCAGTTACCAGTCTTGACAAATCAAGATCTCATACTTTGTACTGCATATTTCATTTATGTATACAAATGTCATATACAAAATGTTTGAAATTTTTTATAAAATGTAAATTAAATATTAAGTTGTTCAAATATATTTTTTAAAAAATTCAGGATATATTCAGTTTTAAGGTTTTCTATTTTACTTTTCCTTGAACTTTTCTTTTCATTACTCATTTCAAATTGAAAATATTTTGTAAATATTTGACTGTCTGAATTTAAAAAAATAAATAAATAAATAAATAAATGCTGTTGTATTTTATTATGCTACATATAACTTGATAGAAATATTTATGTATTTTTCATTTTAGCGACTGAAGAAGTTAAAAGGTCTTAAAAAGGGTTTAATACCATCTCGGAGGAAACGTCCATAAAAAATAAATGGAGTTTATGGCATTGTATATAAATTTCATTTCATTTGTTACACTAATGTCTGTGATTTATCATATTTTATATAAATTACTGACTTTGTATGTTAATGTATTTTAAATAAAGAGATATAATTTTTATAATTTTTATTTGAAAATTGTTTGCTTCATTTTTTCAATTGTTCTTTTTGTAAAATACATAAATTGCAGTTTTGTGTAAGTAAACAGTAGCATGCAGAAAAACAGCAGCTGAAAGTTTAGCATTTGATTTTTCTTATATTCTTCATAGTATACCATAAATGATAAATAGGTTGTAATAAATTGATAAGATACATGGAGACTTGTATTAAAGATACTAAATTAAAAATCTATGTATCCAAACCTGACTAAATATATATTTTGCTGTGTTGAAATTGAATTAATAATTGCATATTATGCTAACTTATTTTTTCATCTGAGTCAAAGACATCAATTCGTGTCCCTATATGAAATCAAATTAATAGAATCATAACTTACATATGTTTTGAAGAGTATCACATATGATGATTTATGTTAAAAATACTTCCTGATAAATAGTAAATAACACTGAAATAATTTGAATGATAATAATGTTTTGAATTACCAAAAAGCAAATTTTCAAACGCATTTAAATTAATTCAATGGTGAGACTCTTCCTTTTTGAAAAACGCCTGTTTATTTTTTAAATCGATTATAGCAAAGCACTCAAAGATTATCTCGCCTAATACTTTGGGAAGTATTTTCTAAAGAAAGCTGGTTTATATTCATGTTATGCATTCAGAAAACAATGAAAATATCTAACTAGGTCAAAGGTTAATTTCATAGCTTCAGGGGGAAGGAATTTGGTTAACCTTTTATTTAGCTGTTAATTATTTAGTTTCATTTATGAATATAAAAAATATTTTAATTCAAATTTTGGTATTAACATTTTCTACACTTTTTGTTGTTTAATGTATAAATTGTGTTAAAAAATCATCTAAATCCAGATAAATGTGTATATTTATTTTTCAAAGGAAGGGGGCATGTTCTAGCAGTGGTGAAAAGGGTTAATGGAGTGGCTTTACGAAACTCGATTGCTGAGGGGGGAGGAAAAATCGAAAGAAATTATGTGAACTTCTGAATTTTTTAGTGCAATGTTAGAAGTGTGATTTTAGTTTAAGCATGCAAATTTCTTTATCTCTACTGCCAACATATTTTTTACGAAGAGGGAATTTCATGAATCAGACAGAGCCTTTGGTAAAAACGAACAAAAAATAAAAGATTGGGAGAAATGCAAAGTTTATTTCATTATGTGTAATTATGAATTTTTAATATTAAATATGGTTTTATAATTTAAGTATTCTGTTCAGTTTTTATTATTAAAGTTTTGAAAGCATCTCAAGATGTTAATATTATATAACAGGTTCAACCGAACCCTGGTCTATAAAGTGTGGCTCACATTGTTACAAACAATACTTTTATTTTGGAATGAAACCAGAAATTGGTCTTTTTAACAATGAATGATTTTACGTCATGTGCTAATTGATAAAATAAGGAATAAAAGGCTTCCACTTCTATTATTTTCCAATATTGTGAGGATGGTTTAAGACCTAAATGCGTGTCTTGAGAGTAAAAAATGCATTATCGAAAGTACAGAAAAGACAAACACACTGTAAACACGCTCCATGGGTGAGGTACTTCAAATTTTAAAGAAAGAAAGGACAATAAAGTATAATTGTAACTTCATTAGAGAAAAATAAGACATATCTGATGATAAGTTCTTGCCAAATGAATAACGTAACTGAAGTTGAATCGTGCCTAACTTTGATATCTGCACTTTATATTTGTTACTTGGAAAATTTATATTATTATATTCATGATAAACCTCTTATAAGATGACAGTTTATTATAATATTTGCATCTTGAATTCCACCTTTTATGATTCTGTCCAAGGAACAATCGCTAGTACCTTTTTTTTTTATTGCGTTGTTCTTCAATTTGAATGAAAGGCTTTATAGATTAGTGTTAAAAACCTCTTATTTTTTCCTATGTTTTCAGTTTATTCCTATTAAAATAATTGATAATCATAATCAAGGGAACGGGATTTGAACACACACACCCCGAAAAAAAGAAAAACTTTGTTTTCTATCTCAGGAAAGGGGGGGGGAAAGGCTAAAAATCTTTAACAATAGGAATATAATTTCCTGAGTGGAAAAAAAGATCAAAAAAGTTTTTTTGGGGGGGGGAATAATAATGGTAATTAAAACATGCTTAATCTTTGTTCATTTACTTTAAAGTTCTTTTTCACTATTGATAACTTTTTTTTTTTTTTAAATTTCCAATGGCAGATTACAAAGACAACTGTAGACAGAACAGAGATGAAAAAGAATGGCAAAAACTAGGATTAAAAAGAAGGGCTGGGTCATTCCTTTGTGTGACTCCTCGTCGGAGAAGTTAACAGGAAGTAGTCTGACATTGTTGCTCTGACTTGGCCTGTTTAAAAGTAGCAATGTGGACAACCTAAAATTAATTTTAATCACATATATTATTTTCTTGTAAAGCAGTGTCAAAATCAAACTGGCGGCCCTCGGAATAATTTTATGCTGCCTGCGAATACATTTCCTGTAAATTAATTAGCATTATTTTCAAAAGAATTTGAAGGAGGAGTTTAAGATTTTAATAGTGTTACCCAGATTGTATAGTGGTTAGGGGAGAGGATTAAGATACCCAAGGACCCGGGTACGAATCTCAGAGAAGGCATGGTTGTAATTATTCGTCCCTTCATAGGAGACAGAGGTGGCCCACCTATTAGGTGCTTCCATAATAAACTGAAAACCACTTATGACCTTAGTTGTCATAAGTTTTCTGCGTTGGCCAAGCTGAAGTCGGCTGAGGGCTCGCCACTAGAAAAGAGAAAAGAGAGAAATAATAATAATAATAATAATGGTTTGGAGTCAGTTTTATGTTATATTCATTAACAAAAACTAACGTAACTCTTCGGAAAATCTAGAAAGAGAGCTAATTAATTTTTTTTTAGTTTAAATTAAAAGTATTTACTTAGTAGTTTAGTATATTACAATTAGTTGAATAAATACCAATCTGAAAATATTAATATGCTGTCTGTTGTTTTTAGCCATCTAATTGAATACCAAATTGTGACCTACAGAAATTTCTTGCAGATACCAACTTTTAGATTTCAGGCTGGAAATAAATATAAATTTGAATTTTTCTTTGTGTTATTTTTATTTCTATTATTTATTTCTAATTAAAAGTTGAAATTTAATTAGCAAATTTCGGTTTGTTAAAAAAATCCTGCCCTCCCTTTTTTAGCTCAAAGGGACATTAAAGACCCAAAGGGCTATTAGTCATTAGTCTCAAAACAACATTTTACATCATTTCACTTTCTGCGTTGGTTCACTTTCCAAACTGTTGCCACCAAATATTATCACCATGTATTATATTTAAAGAAATTAAATAATGAAGAGTCTGCATGAATGAATAACTGTTTCTCGCGTTGTGTGAAAATAAAACGGATTTTTGATTAACAAACTTGACAGTTTCAAAGCGAGCAATGGCAACTCTGTACGGGAAAAAACATTTTTATCTACGGTCCATGAGACATTGTATTGGAAATTCTGAAGATGCGCTGTTTTTAAATATTTTATATTGCTGTTGAATTGAATTTTATAAGGTTTACGTGCAAAGAATATGATACTTGATAAAGGTAACACACAAAATATTAAAAATCACACTTTTGGGCCTAATATAAAATCTGAAAGCTTTCAGATTTCTTTCTTTCAATTGCTGCTCATCATCTACTTTCAAACTGTGCATTGGCCCTTGTGCAATGTGCAGGTGTTTAAATGTGAGTATAAGTTGGACAATTATTTTAAAAATATCTGCTATTATATCAAATTGAAAGAGAAACATGCCAATGTAAAATTTATAATTAGATAAAAAAAAGCAATCAATCTTGGATTAAATTTTAAATAAAACTATCGATTTCAAGAGCAGTCAAAGAAAAGTTCCTCATCTTGCAGGAGAGGAAAAATGACATGTATTCAAAATTACGCCAAACTAAGGGGTTTTTTGGTGTGTGTGTAATTTTAAAAAGCTGTTATTATAATTATGTTAGAAAGCTATATAGAATTCTCCCTCTTAGCATGCAGGTGAAGAAAAGATAATGAATGCCATAGTTTTTTTCTTCATGATTTAACAATAAATGCACAGGGGGGAAAAAACCTGCAACTTTTAAGAGAACATAATGTACACTCATGTCCATAAATTAAGGATAATTCGGAGTCACGCGGAAATCAAACTCGAAAATAAATATATCACCTGTAAAATCACTACACACATCTTCAAGAATCGTATGCAAATTTCAGGAAGTAACCAGATGACACCGATGGTACGTCACAATGACGAGAGTGTAAGAGAGTGATATATAAGGAATACAGGCAAAGAAGGAAAATTGTTCGCAGCCGCTTTATAAGCATTTCAGTGCAATAACCAAATAGTTATGACACAAAGGACGAATTTGGATGATGTTTTACGTAGTAGAATTATCGGCCGTCTGGAATGTGGGCTACCCAACTGGAAGTATCAAAGGAACTTGGAATTGCCCAGAGTGTTATCTCCAGGCTTTGGCAATGATTCCAAGATGATGGTAATGTGAGTAGATGTTACAGCACAGGTCGCCCCAGAGTTACAACGCCGAATGAGGACCGGTATTTGGCAGTTACTGCCTAAAGAAACAGGCGGAGCACAGTCTCGTCAGCTCTCTTCAGCCACTGATGCGACAATTTCAAGGCAGACCGTGTACAGACATTTAGGGCAGATTGGTCTATATGCTCGTAGATCTGTCAGATGCGTTCCACTTACTGCAACTCACTGTCGCCTGCAGTTAGCCTGGAGTAAAGAGCATGCATTGTGGACACCGCAACAGTGGGCTTGTGTGATGTTTTCCGACGAGTCCAGGTTTAGCTTGCACTCTGATTCTCGCCGGACTTTCATATGGAGAGTTCCAGGTACCCGTTACCACCAAGAAACATCATTGAACGACACCGTTATGGTGGTGCAGGAGCTCTCGTTTGGGGTGGAATTATTCTGGGTTCCAGAACTGACCTGCATGTTCAAATTGGAACCAT